GGCAGGTGCTCTAGGGCCGGGCTGGTGCTGGGAGGGGCCAGTCGGGCACGAGGAGGGGCCGGGCAGCGCTGAGGAGAGGCCGGGCGGCGCTAGGAAGGGGCCGGGCGGCACTAGGAGGAGGCCGGGCGGCACTAGGAGGAGGCCGGGCGGCACTAGGAGGAGGCCGAGCGGCACTAGGAGGAGGCCAGGCGGGCGAGCGCTAACAGCAGGCGCGACAGGGGCCAGCGGGCGCGACGGGGCCTAACGGGCGCGACGGGGCCCAGCGGGCACGACGGGGCCCAGGGGGGCGCGACGGGGCCGAGGAGGCGCGACGGGGACCAGCGGGCACGACGGGGCCCAGGGGGGCCGCGACGGGGCCTAACGGGCGCGACGGGGCCCAGGGGGGCGCGACGGGGCCTAGCAGGCGCGACGGGGCCTAGGAAGCGCGAAGGGGCCCAGCGGGCGCGACGGGGCCTAGGAGGGGCGCGACGGGGCCGAACGGGCGCGACGGGGCCCAGAGGGGGGGGACGCGACGGGGCTTAGGAGGCGCGACGATGCCTAGGAGGCACGACGGGGCTCAGCGGGCTCGACGGGGCCCATGGGGGGCGCGACGGGGCCTAGGAGGCGCAACGGGGCCCAGCGGGGGCGCGTTAGGGCCTAGGGGTCGCGACGGGACCCAGTGGGCGCGACGGGGCCCAGGGGGAGCGCGACGGGGCCTAGGAGGCGCGACGGGGCCCAGCGGGCACGACGGGGCCCAGGGGGGGCGCGACGGGGCCTAACGAGCGCGACGGGGCCCAGGGGGGGCGCGACGGGGCCTAGGGGGCGCGACGGGGCCTAGGAGGCGCGACGGGCGGAAGCGGTAGGCGGGGGGATCCTAACCTAAGCGTGATACCATGTTAACGTAGAAACGAATGATTACTAGAGGTGGAAACCTAGAACAAATACTAGTTGGTTGTACTCACTAGAAGCATACCTCAGTCTAGCCTATAACTTCTACATAGATAATATGTATAAGTTGACAATATTCGCTCACATTCTACCACTTCACCACCTCGTAGGCTTTGCGCCGCCTTACGATTGGTTAGAGTGGCAGCATTGTTTCCTCGCTGGGTGACAAGTTCGCGCGCCGACAGTGATTGCTGATGCATGCAGCAACTTCACAGGCTTTTGCCTGTGAGCGGTCCCAAACGAGGCTCTTGACTACACACCTTTTGTGTCTCGCAAAACGCCCTTCTTCTCCATACGTTTCTTTCAGAAACCATGCCCCCTGACTTGCAACGAGCATTCCCTCACCTAGTAGAGTTTCGAGTAGCTGGATCGTCCTTCAGCCATGGCGCTCGATGATGCCGATCCTCCTGACCCTCCCCCACTGAATGGACTCAGCGTTCTTGGGGTTTTCCCCCTCCTCCCGCCGCGTAGAGTTGCGCCTTCCCCGCCGCGCAATCCCTCGCTCGACAAGCGTGCACCCCCTCCGCAACAGTTTCTTTTTTAGCCTACGTCACCACCTTGCTCTTCTCATGCTGCTGAGGCGATCGACCTCAACCTGTTGCACAGCGAAGGCACTTCTGGCGAGGCACCAGAAGTTGCTGAGTCTGTCGCCACCGCTCCCGCCAAGAGGAAGGACGGCGGACCATGGACTCAGCGTCGGCTTCCTCGGGCGCCACCGCCGAAGAAGCCGGCTGCACCGCCTACTCCTCCGCCTGTTGCTCCTACTCCGTCCCAGAATCCTGCTTCTCCTGTCGACGCGGAGTATGAGGTCGTGAATCGTCGCTTCGTGGACGACTGGTCACGACGCTTCCCGTGGCTCCGACTTACTCGTATGAAGAACGGCCGACCTGCCCTCAAATGTGCCCTGTGTCTCCAGTACGGTGATGCTTTCTCCAACACTTCATATGGCAGGAAAGGAGAGGGTGCGCGCGATCTCCAGGTGGGCAGCATCCGAATCCACATCGGGACACGGGCTCACAAGGTGGCTGTCAAGGCGCAACAAGAACGGGAGAAAGAGAAGGATCAGCAGAAGACGCTGGACCGATGGGCGGTGACAGACGCATCGACGAAACATCTCATCCGGTGCTTCCATATCGCCCTTTTTGTCTGTAAGGCCGACGCGCCCATCGCGATGTACGTGGCGCTTTGCTACTTCCTCGCGTCCGAGGGCTTACCAGATCTCCCGCAGGGTCGGGCGTATGGGACCTACTAGACGGAGTGAGTTTTGATATCCGAATCCCTCTTCTCCCATCAATGCATTGCATGTCGCCGCAGACATCGAACGTTGCCGTAATTTCCTTGTATGTGTCCACCTGCTCTCCAACTTTCTTACCAGTAGCCTATCCATTCCCATCTCCCCCTACCAGTTATGGCTTCAAGCAAGGGACCAAGGCGATTTCCGAGTACCTGAAGGACAAGCAACTCCACCACATCCTGAGCTCCCCGTTTGTCGGCATAGCCATCGATGAAAGCACGGACCGCGTGCATGGGAAGCATCTAATTATGTATGCTACGTTCTTTCGTGGCAAATCGGTAGTCACAGAGTTTGTCACTCTGCTAACTGTCGAGCGGACCGATGCGGCGTCTCTGACGGCGGTTCTTCTACAGTACCTGCAGTACATCGGTCTCGACCTCCAGAAGATCGTCGGGATGGCTACCAATGGAGCATCGGTAATGACCGGTGTGCAACAGGGAGTGGTAACCCGCCTGAAGAGGCGGATTGAGCACCTGATGGCTGTTCACTGCATCGCCCATAGGTGGGGTGTTTTACTCGCTACCCTCATGTTTTCAGTAGAACGCTCCAAATCATTGCATCTGTTCTAGTGTTGTACTCGTTGGCCGTATGCTTTTCCTCTGCTTGTCGGACTCATTGCTTTTTTTGTGTTTAATCCACTCCTCCCGCCAGAGAGGCACTTGCGGCGAAGGATGCTGCCGCTGCTGTGGCCCAGTTACAGATCATCGACATGCTCATCCGTGCTTTCGCCGAGCTCGTCGGTCGCTCCAACAATCAGCATCTCAGCTTCATAAACTTCCAGCTGGTGTTTTGCAACACCAATCTAGAGATGCAAGGGATCCACGCCGTACGTTGGTTGTCGCGCGGAGAGGCGGTGATCCGCTTCGTCGAAGTGCTGCCGGCGGCCATCGTCTTGCTGCGTGATCACCCCAACGGTCTTTTCGAGGTTATGACGTCGTTCAAGGTGCAGTTCATGCTGCACTACCTCGCCAACATACTGGAGGAGCTGAATCACCTTAACACCCGCTTCCAGCAGCGCCAGGTATGACACTCCTCTCATCGTTGAATGTCGTAAGTACCATGTGCTTGTATCTAGACACTGAGTCATACTTTGCACGTTTATTTTGCATGTCGCTCATGGTGCCCTGTTTGCTTTGAACTTATCTCGGTGTTTTCGTTGCAGGTGGATCTCACAGTCGTGGCCTCAGTGGTGGACAACATGTGCAACCGCATCACCGACCGCTACATCAAGTGCGGCGGTGGTCCCTTCTTCGGGAACGGCAGCGAGAGGCTCGGGAAATTCCTGGAGCGTCACGGGAGGCCCGACCAGCGCCGCGTGCGCGTTCAAGGCGTCGACTCGGAGGGGAATGCTCAGGCGTTCGAGTATGTGCTGCATGAGCGGATGGTGGAGGGGCACAACACCAAGAGCGACCTAGACTCCTGCGCCTAAGTCTGCCGGAAGCATGCAATCGATGTCGTCACCAACGTCTGTGCCCGCCTGAAGGACCTGGCTAACATGGAAGGATGCAAGCTCTTCAAAGTCAAGACCTACCCACGAGACGACGAGTTGCGCCTAGCGAGATGCAAGCATTGGCTGAAGCAGTCACACAACCTCTTCGATGGAAAGCTCCTTGGTGAGACATATTTCTTCTCGATGATGTTGCCTGTCATCGATGCTTGCGTGCCCGTTCTTAGGCTGCAGTCCCCGCAATCCATTTGCAGCAACATTCGTTGCACATCTCCCCTTGAAAGCTTACTGTTTCCTATCCTTTGAATCCCAACCCCACCATCCTGTAGGCTTTGACTACAACAAGGCCGTCACGGAGCTGTGGGTGTTTACTGCTACCATGGTTTCGCAGTACAAAGATGACGAGTTTCAACAGGGGCTCACCTTGACTCTGGACAACAATGAGTGGCAGCGGAGCTACCCCAACATCCTCAAGCTGTGGCAGGCACTGGCGGTGCTCCCTCTCAGCACAGTGGAGTGCGAACGTGGTTTCTCGAAGCAAAATCTGATCAAGTCATGGAGTCGTGGGTGCCTTGGCGATGACAGCCTGGGCGACTTGATGCGGTGCTCGCTCCTCTGCTACCAGATTGACTGGTTTGATATGGTAGCTGTTTTCCGATGTGAGAAGCGGCGGCGGCCTCTGCGCGACTTGTGTTCTGCCAACCCAACTCCAGCTGCGGCTTCTGCAGATGCAGGCACCATAAGGACTGACCCTGACCCTGACCCAGTTCCACTAGAGGATCCTAGTGTGCTGTAGGTAGTGTGGTTGTGATTTTCCTTGCCTACGTTCCTAGTTCATGCTAATTATTTCCATATGTTAATTATTGACATGTAGTGTAGCTAGGAATATGGTGCATTTCATAACGTGAAACTGGGTTGTGTTTTTTTTACCCTGAGCACCCAGAGTGCCGAATGTTCTACCCTGCTGAATCAGACTTGCGAAAAATTGTACTCTGACCGGCAGGGTAAATTTTTTTAGGCATTCTGATTCCTAAGAGTGGCCTAAGTGTTAAGAACTTAGGATGCTAGGTCCCTAAAGTTAGGACACTAGCTTAGCTAGGATAGGAGCAAGGCCGCCATGGAACGGCGCTAGGAAAAACGGATCTAGGAGTAGGAGGAAAGTCGAGAAGAAAGAGTGATGGATTAGGAAGAGAAGGGAGTACAAGGAGGGGTTTGTACCCCCTACAGAAAGGTTCAGTAGCAACCTACCAAGCCTATATAAAATTATAACTTATATAATTTTAACACTAAGACCAATTTTGAGCCCTGGGCACCTCCACGTAATGCATTGATTATCCAGCACTCTCTCTATTATCATTCAAAACATGAATCGATTACATCCACTGTAAGTAACCAAGGTATTCAGCAAACTGGCTGCACGTAGCAACACAAAACGACTCGCTCCGCTTCACACACAACCGGCAACCACGCAGCTCCCACCGCACCTCCTCCTCTTCCTCCATACACACACTACCATCTTCACCACCTCCATTCGAGTGTCTACTAACCTCCTGCACACTCACCCCCATGCTCCCTCGTCTCCCCGACCCCCCTCCTCTAATTATCGCCCGATATTCCAAATCTACTTCTGCCAAAAGCCCCGTTCCAAACACCAGAGCGGGCAACACGGAGCAAAACACCAGCAGGCCTAGATCATCCGCCTGGTACTGCGGGTGGCAGCTGAGCAGCTGCACCATGCGCCCGTCCGAAGGCCTCTGCACGTGCAGCTGAGCAGACAGCTGCTGGGCAAAAGCAGAGGGCCGGTCCGGGCCTTGCATGGCCATGTGGGAAGACTTGTGGTAGTCAGAGAGAAAGGTCGGGGAGGGGGAGGGGGAGGGAGAGGGAACAGAGGAGGAAGGGGCGATGGTGGTAGTGGTGGTTGAGGGCGTGGAGGAAGAGGAAGACGAGGAGGAAGAGGAAGAGGAGGAGAAGACGGAAGGAGTGGCGGCGGAATTCGGAGGGGTGAGAGAGGAGGAAGAGGAGTACGAAGAGGAAGAAGTAGAATCAGGGTGCGGCCGCCACAAGGGGCTATCCTCACGAGCAGCGTTCAGATTCTTGACAATAAAATCGAAATCTCCCAGATCAGCAGTCTCGGACAGGATCAAATCTTTCAGCTGGAGCGCCATGGAGAGCCGTGATTTGCCGTGGAGGGAAAGGTCTAGGAAGAAGGTGAGGGAGGGGAAGGAGAGGGGAGTGACTGAGGGGCGAGGAGGCCCACAGCTGAGCCGGCGATATGCGAAGGCGCGGAACGAGCGCTCTTCCAACGAATGTTCTTCCAACGAATGGTTCTTTAGTGAAGGCTCTTGAGACAAGGGACAGGAATGGTTTCTGATAGAGTGGTGACGATGCTCCTGAGTATGGTGTCCAGTGGAGGTGGAGACTGGTGAAGGTTCGGCAGGGTAAGTTTCTCCCCCGCTTAGGGTTGGGGGGTTGGGGGGAGAGGCAGAGGTGTGGGAAGAGTTGGTGCCACTGCTGCAAGGAATCATCCTTAGCTGCTGCTGCTGCTGCTGCTGCTGATGTTGCTGCGGTTGCTGCTGCCGGTGCCGTTGATGCGGCTTCGTTTGCGGCTTACTCGGCGGTTCAATCAGCGCCAGCGACTGTCCGCGGCGTGACTGTAACGAGGGCCACATGTCCCGGGCGAGCGTCGCCCACAGACTCTCGTCCCGCGCCACGGCCCGCCACTGCGCGCTGACGCACGCCGCCCGCGCGATTTCGCGCGCGGAAAGGCAGCAGAGGACGCGGTATAAGACGCTATCATCCAGGGGGAAGGCGGAAGGGAGGGCGGAAGGGGAAGGGCTGGCGGAGGGGAAGAGGGAAGAGCAGGAGCTGGCGGAAGGGCAGGCGGAAGAGCAGGCGGAACAATCACGTGGATGCGAGGGGTCAGAGGCGGAGGCGGAGGGGAAAGCGGAGAGACAAGCCGAAAGCGCTAGTCCATCGCCAAGCTCTAGTTTTTTTTCTTCGTTCGGCCGTGACTCGTTCGACCGTGACGAAACACACTCGCTGCGGGAATCCTCTACACCGGCAAGACAGCTCGAAAGGGCTATACCATCGCGTGGTTCTTGCGTTCGGTCCTCGTTCGACCATGACGAAACACACTCGCTGCGGGAATCCTCTCCTAAAGAGCCCGCCATCTCGCCCGCGCGCGACGTACTTAATCTTAGACGTCGTAGGTCCCCGAAACTGCAAATTCGAACGGGACTAATTGCTTTCTTTCGTTCCCTACTCTCGTGTCATCTAGAGGCATTCTTTCGGAATCTGGTCCACCCAACTCGGTTCAAAAGAACTCCTGGTGGAAATACCGCTTCGTGATGCTAGCAGTGCTAGGTGGCCAATAGAGGTGGAAGAAGATCCGACAGCCTCTAGAGGCGGACAGCCATAACGAAGCAGAGCTGGCGACCAGTGGGAAAGAGGCTCGGGCGACCGAAAGCGACGGGTGGGACGAGTTTTGCTGCCGCAATTCTCGAGGATGATGGGCAGGTGGAGGGGGAGAGAGAGAAGGCATTCTCGTGCGCGATAGTGGGCAATTTCAATCTCATCGTCCGAGTGTAGCTGAATAGAAAATGATTCTGGAAGTTATGCCCACAGATCAAGAGTTATACTCACTATACTATGTGAGGATGGAGACTGAATCTGCATGATAATCAACTGGTAGCTTTTTTATCTTCATAAATTCCAACATGGAGAACTTTTCTGTTCAGGACATGAGTATGTACAGCGAAGGCCTTTGGGAAGGTCAAGAAAACAAGGCACAAGACTCTCTCTACTGCATTTCCTTCCGGTCGTTCAAAGAGCCACCTCTTATTAGCCTTCTAAAGGCATTCTCTATGGTAAGGGGAGGCTCTGGAGACAGCCAAGGATGCTGCAGTATCTCCTTGCATGAAGGCCGCTTCGAAGGGTCCCGTGACATCATGGCTGCCACCAATGACACAGCGGATGGCGAAACATGGTTCCAAATTTGGTCACTGAACAGAACCTCGGGTGCAAAATCCAAAATGGCCCCGGTTTCAATGTCTGTTCGGGGGTATTGTCCTGACAGGAGCACATACAGGACAACCCCAAGGCTCCACATGTCTGCTTTGGTGGTGTACCACCGGCCTTTGGCCACCTCAGGTGCCTTGTAGAGCCGTGTTCCTACATTTCCCGTTGCGAATCCATTTGCAGGTAGGATCAACGCCAAGCCGAAATCTGCTAGCTTCACAGTGTACGGCCCTTCTTGCCTTAAATCCTGAGACCCTTGCCTCCCGTGGTGCTGCTGTTGCTTCTGGCGGTGCTGCTGCTGCGGATGCTGCAGGGGCTGGCTTTTACCTTTGTGGTCTGGTATGGGCCGCATTTGCTGATGTTGCCACTGAGCCTGTTGGTTTTGCCGTCCTTTCAGGCTGCTGCTGCTGCTGCTGCTCCTGTCTGGGTTCAGTGCTGCTCGCCTTGCATCATCAATCCTTAAGCTGTTGCCACGCTGAAGGTCCCCTCTCTGTCTCTGCTGCTCCTGCGGCGTGTTGTGGCACAGCAGCACGTTCTCGAGCTTTATATCTCTGTGGATCACATGCCTGCGATGGCAGTGACGGACTCCCACCACCAGCTGACGGAAAATGTCAGCCGTAAGCTTTTCTGGCAAACCCTGACGGTTAGGGGAGCCGCTGCTGACGACAGCAGCCGGTACTGCTGCTGCTACTGCCGCTACAGCTGCTGCCGCGCGGTTTATGGGGCTCCAGAGTCGCGGCTTCGCAGGGCTGTTCGTCGCACGCCGCTGCTGATAGTTTCGCAGGAGCGTTAGAAGGTCGCCAGCGTCGCAGAGCTCCAGGAGGAGTCGCGTGCGATGGGCGTTGTCGTACACGCCCTTCATAGCGACGATGTGCCTGTGCGACCCCACGTGTTTCAACGCGCGAATCTCGTTGGAAAGAGCCGTCATTCGAAGTCGCCGAATGTGCGCCTGTGCAGTGTCGTCCTCGATATAACGCACCCCGTTTGCCTCTTCGTAACGGATCCCTTCGTCACTGAAGCTTCTCGTCTTGTGCACCGTCTTGCACGCAAAGGACTCCACGTGGCGCTCGGCGGTTGGCTGAGGCCCTTCCAGGCTGGAACTGCGTCGGATGGAGGGCACGGCGGGCCAGCGCTGAGTCACATCCCTCCCTTTCTGACGTGGCCGCAGGATAGTATCGATTGCCGCCTCTTGCGCCGCCCGTTGCGCCGCTGCTGCTGCCACTTCCGGCTCTTGCGCCGTCCCTTGCGCCGTCTCTTGCGCCGTATCTTCCGCCGTCTCTTGTGCCGTCTGCTGCTGCTGCTGCTCTTGCGGCGAATCCACCGGCCACATCACTTGCTGCTGCTCTCCTTCATACTCGTTACTAGCAGCAGCCCGGTTACTGGTACAGCCAGGGTCCGACTCAGACCGTGACATGATCGAATTAGATTCGATACGATTTGAGTGGGACTCGGAGACCACCCGCTGGTGACAGATCTCGACCACGCCGAACGCGCCTTGCCCCAGAAGCTCCCCGATTTCGTACTTCGGCGTGAAACCCGCCGACGGCTGCCGCCGATGGCGCTGGTGCGTGCCGCCTCGTAAACTACTACTTGTGTTACTGGTTGGACTAGTTGCGACGTTGCAATCGTCGTCGAGAAGGTCGTCGCGCGCTACTATTAGGCTGCGACGTTCTGGAATGACGAGCATGAATCCGCCGTCGCCAGCGTCGTGGGCGATGTTGTTCTCGAAATTGGGTGCCATATTTGCGGCGCCTAAAAATCGTTGGGCGCGGTTCCGACGTCGAAAATGTGCAATATCTCAACAATACGGCGTGTTACGCCTCAAAAAGACTCGGACTTCTGAATAAAGGTCGACGGAGCATACGGCGTGTTCCGCAGCAATAAGCTTTTCTCAGAAGTCGCGGAGGGGGTATATTTAGAAACGAGAGGAGAATGCGAAGGAGGGATGACGAATGCGACTGCAAATCAAAGCTTAGTCGACGCTGATCGAGAGAAGAATGACTCCCTTCCTCGAGAGAATAAAGGGACTATGTGCAGCAAGTTCGGTTCAGGCCGACGCTGGGTACTGGGACGTAGACGCGTGCTAGCAGTGAGGACATATATGAAGGCATAGACGAGGAGGGCATATCTTTGCCCACACAGGCCTCAGTGTTAGCAGATCTCCGGACATAGTTCCCGTGAGCGCGGTTAGGAAGACGGTTTGACGAGCAGTGAGGACATGTCTTCGCCCTGCCCACACAGACAGTGCGCAGCAGCTACTAGCTGCTACTCGACTCGACCCAAGCCAAGCCAGCTAAGTAAGAGTTCCACTGGTCCTCGCAGGCCCAGCTTCGCCGAGGTAACGTACGTGGACTGCCACGTTGACATAACTGCTCTAACAGGTGGGAGCGTGGGTGTGAAAAACCCGAAACCAAGTCCGACTGGGCCTCTCTGTGAGGCAAGAACAAGGAAGAAGGAAACGAAAGTGGGTGGTGAAATAGTTCTGGCAGTGGGAGAGCCATGGCGTGGCGTGGCGTGGCGTGGTGTGGTTCGGTGTGTTTTGGTGTGGTATGGTATGGTGTTGGTGTTGGCGCTGGTGTTGGTGTGTTGCTTGAATTCGGTTGAGTTCGAGGAAGGAGGATTTCCAATTCGACACAGTGAGCCAATTGCGGGCGAATGTCGCATGGCCCCCGTTTTTTGCCAGCATTCACTTCTGTCCAGCTACTCGGAAACCCGAGGCGCAATTGGTGTAATTGGCCTCGCTGGGCTTCTGCTCCTTGGTTGGGCTGTCTTGCCTCATGCTGGCAGGCTGGCGGATCTGATGCCGAGCTGGACAAATTAGCAGCTACATGAACGCAGGTTCGAAATCACAAATGTTACAAATTTCTCCCGCGCTCGTCAATACCGTGAAAGCTAGTTACTGCGAACGCTGGTTGCCAGCTGGCGACAGGATCCCCTTGCGATTAGCTGTCAGCAGGATCCTTCGTTCTCCTTCGCAGCGGCCCTCACCAGAAGTCCTCCGAATTCAACCTCCACAACCTCCAGAAAATTTGTACTCGATTTAATCTGAATCAGCGAGGCGCGCTCGTTCCCCACGTTGTGTAGTGCAGGTGAACTCCAAGATGGCCTTTGTATGCCTCATACATGTGTGCAAACCGTTCGAATATAGAAACCAATTGCATTTTACGCAATAGCAATGCAAACTCTCAACGATTTATGACGATAGCCTCACCATCATCCCCTTGCTCCCACATGTCCCAAGATGCCCCAACTGCCACATTACTTACAATTTCCCAGTAGCAGCAGCCTCAGCAAGAGCTAGCCTAGCCTCGTCGTCCCTCCCCTGCTGCTGCAGGTTCACCACCAGAGACCCTGCAACCACGAGTGCGGCACCCCCCATGGGCCCCATCCTCATTACAGAATGACTCACTAAAGGTTCCCTGTGGCTGCAGCCTCAGCAAGCGCTAGTCTTTTTGGCAGTAGCTCAGCCTCGCCGTCCCTCCCCTGCTGCTGCAGGTTCACGACCAGCGACCCTGCAATCACCAGCTCCTACTCCACTCCACCCTCTCATCTCATCCTCGCTACAAACTGACTCATTACAAGCTGCCCCGTTACAAGTTCCCAGTAGCAGCAGCCTCAGCTAGAGCTAGTCTCTTGAGCAGCGGTTCAGCCTCGTCGTCCCTCCCCTGCTGCTGCCGGCTCACCACCAGAGACCCTGCAAGCACCACTCCTGTACCACTCACCCGTCTCATCCTCGTTACAAACTGACTCGATACAAACTACCTCACTACAAGTTCCCAGTGGCAGCAGCCTCAGCAAGGGCTAGTCTCTTAAGCAGTGGCTCAGCCTCGTCGTCCCTCCCCTGCTGCTGCAGGTTCACCACCAGCGACCCTGCAACCACGAGTGCAGCGTCCCCCATGGGCCCCACTGCTGCCTCCATCCTCGCTAGAGCCTTCCTCAGTAGCTGCTCCGCTGCCTCCGCCCGCCCCGTTGCCATCAGAATGAGAGCCAGATTGCGCTGCCCTTGCGCTGGGGGGAGAAGAGAGAGGGGGGTGGGGAGGAGAGTCAAACCAAGTCAATCCAAGTCAAACCATGTCATCGAAGTCAAACCAAGTCATCGAAGTCAAACCAAGTCAATCCAAGTCAAACCAAGTAAACCCAAGTCAAACCAAGACATTCAAGTCAAAAGGAAGCAAAGCTCCGCCAGCAAATCCACAGTGTCTCCCCGCATTCCTGCTTTCTCCACCACCCCTTCAGCAATCATCACATGCTCCTCGCCAACAACTCGGCCCCTTCAAACCGCTCCACCTGGGCCACACACAGCGCCAGGCACAGTGCCACACACAGCGCCAGGCACAGTGCCACACACAGCGCCAGGCACAGTGCCACACACATCGCCAGGCACAGTGCCACACACAGCGCCAGGCACAGCGCCAGGCTTGACCTTGTGTGCCCATTACCCAAATCTTACCTAGCAGCTCAACAGTGTCTCCCCGCGTTCCCGCCTTCTCCACCACCCCTTCAGCAATCATCACATGCTCCCTTGCGAGCCCCTCGGCCTCCTCCAACCGCTCCATCTGAGCCAGACACAGCGCCAGCCGCTCGATCGGCACGGCCAACCGCGCGTCGCCAGCTGGCACCGCTGACCGGGCGATCTGCAGCGCGCGGCGCAGGAGGCGCTCGGCGCCCTCTGATTGGCCGGTGGTCATGCGAGACTGGGCGAGTTGGATGAGGGGCGGGACGAGGGCCGGGGAGAGCGGGCCGACTGCAAGCTCTTTGGCGGAAAGAAGCTTTTCTCTGATGGCGCATGCGTCTTCGTCCCTGTGAACAGGTGGAGGGGCGAGAAGAAGGGAAAGGAATTGTGTGTAATGAGTCGATTTTTGAGTCGACTAAAAAATCGACTCATTACAAACAGGTGGAGGGGGGAGAAGAAGAAGGAACTGGAATCGGGCGAGTTGGACCAGGGGAGGGACGAGAGCGGGGGCCAGCGGGCCGACTGCTAGCTCCTTGGCGGATAGGAGCTTTTCTCGAATGGCACATGCGTCTTCATCCCTGTGAAGGGGTGGAGGGGCGAGGGGAGAAAGGCGATGGTGGAGTGAAGAAGCGCATGAGGGCGGGGGAGAGCGGTCCCACTGCGAACTCCTTGGCGAAGAGAAGCTTCTCTCGAATGGCACAAGCGTCCTGGTCCCTGTGAGGAGAGGGTGGGAGAGCCGAGGGTAGGGGTCCCCAGTGCTGGCTCCTTTGAGGAGAGGAGTGTCTCTCTGATGGCACAAGCGTCCTGGTCCCTGTGAGTTGGATGAGGGGAGCGACGGGAGCCGAGGTTAGGGAAGGAGAGAAGCTTCTCTCGAATGGCACAAGCGTCCTGGTCCCTGTGAGGAGAGGGGGCGAGAGCCGAGGATAGGGGTCCCAGTGCTAGCTCCTATGAGGAGAGGAGAGTCCTTGTGAGGGCGAGAGTGGGAGAGGGGAGAAGGGAAAGGGACTGGCCGCTTCAACTCTGCAAAGAAGTGGAGGGGAGGGGGATTGGACGAGAGAGGGGTGGGAGGATGGGGCATGGGGATGGTCAGGTGGGGTTGGACGAGTTGGATGAACAGGAGGGGATGAGGGCGGGCGGGGGAGAGCGGAGTGGCCCCACTGCTAGATGTGGAGTGCATCACACACACCTGTCTAGAACATCATAGAGCATTGAACGCACACCTGGCTAGATGTGGAGTGCTCGATCTGCGCCTGCTCAAACGCCGGGAAGGCCAAGGCACTGAGTGGTTGATTGACCACATCCCCAGCACAGCACTGTGTACCACATGCCCCTTGAACCAACCAACCCCACACGCACCTGTCCAGAATATCGTAGAGCATTGACAGCTCGATCCGCGCCGGCTCAAAAGTGGGACGGCCGAAGCTCCGAGTGCCTTCACCAGAACACAGAGATTCCCGTTTTTTGAGGCGCCTTTTTTTTCACAAAAAAAGACCCCCCATATATTACCAGCAGGTACACTGCACACACCCCTCCCACACACACCTGTCCAGAATGTCGTAGAGCATGCTCAGCTCAATCTGCGCCTGCTCAAAGGCCGGGAACGCCGAGGCACCGAGCGCATTCACCAGCGCGCGGGGAGTCCCCGCCAGCTCATCGTCGCCCCACGCCAGCTCATCTGCACCCCCTGGCAGCTCAGTGTTTGCCGGCCGGTTGCCCGTCCTCCTCTGCTTCTCCACTGCCTTCTCAAAGATCCGAAGACCGCTCTCCAACACTCCTGCTGCTAGGTCAGGGCGACCTGAATGGGAGGAGGATAAGGGGCAAGGGGATGGGGGAGGGGGGACGGGGGGAAGATTCGGAAATGTCAAACTTCCTCACTGTTAGGCACTGGTTCTGACTCGTTATAAGCCCCCCTTCTTGACTTGCTGTGAGTCTTCTTCCTTCTGACTCGTTACAAGCCCCCTCCCTTAGACTCGCTATAAGCAACTTTCCTTTGATTACACTAAATACACACCCCCTTCCGTTGACCCACTCCTTTGACTCGTTACAGGCCACCTTCCTTGACTCGTTATACACCCATGGTCCACCCACCTTGCCCCTGCCTGACTTGTGAGCGTGTGAACTCCACTGTTGCTGCCTCCATCGACGTCAACCCCCTCCTCCACCCTCTCTGGACAGTCGCTCCATACCCCCTCTTGACTCGTTATAAGCCTGCTCCCTTTGACTCGTTTTAAGCCTGCTTCCTTTGACTCGTAATAAGCCACATTCGTTATTATAAGCCCGCCCACCTTGCGCCTGCCTGACTTGTGCAAGGGTGAATTCCACTATTGCTGCCTCCATCGAAGTCAGCCCCTCCTTCTCCACCAAAATGTCCTTGGCGCTGTTAGTGTGTGGGGACGAGGAGAGGGGTGGAAGAGAAGAGAGGGGAAGAGGAGAGAGGGGAAGAGGAGAGAGGGGAAGCGGAGAGAGGGGAAGAAGAGAGAGGGGAAGAGGAGAGAGGGGAAGAGGAGAGAGGGGAAGAGGAGAGAGGGGAAGCGGAGAGAGGGGAAGAGGAGAGAGGGGAAGAGGAGAGAGGGGAAGAGGAGAGAGGGGAAGAGGAGAGAGGGGAAGAGGAGTGAGGGGAAGAGCAGAGAGGGGAAGAGGAGAGAGGGGAAGAGGAGAGAGGGGAAGAGGAGAGAGGGGAAGAGGAGAGAGGGGAAGAGGAGAGAGGGGAAGAGGAGAGAGGCGAAGAAGAGAGAGGAGGCGGACAGATGTGAGAGAGAGGAGGTGGAGATTCAATGAGTCTGTGGAGGGCACTGCCAGTCGTCGTCATTGGTGCCCTTCAATGAGTCTTTGAAGGGCAACGTCAGTTCTCAGTCCCCCCCTCTCTACCAAAATAACCTTGGCGCTCTTAGAGTGTGAGGGGGACTAGAGGAAACAAGAACAATAAATAGCGGACAAATGAAGTGAAAAAACCCACTCACCGCAGAATGCTCCCTTCGGCCTCTTCCACCTTCCCCCCCTCCATCTGGATCTGTGTCAGTCGCACCAGCATTGTCGCCACTCCTCGGGACCTCTCCCCCCTGGCGGCTTCATACAGCTCTGCTGCGCGCCTCTGCACCGACTCCGCCTCCTCAAACCTCTGGGCTTCAGCCAGGGCGTTTGCGAGGCTGCAAAGAGTGGAAGATTGGAGGTAGTGCTCGCCGCCTGCATAAAGGGAGAGAGAGAGGTGAAGTCATTGTCGACTGGGCTAGAAACACTGGGCCGATTTTTGAGGCGCCTCAAAAAGGGAGAGAGAGAGGTGAAGTCATTGTCGATTGGGCTAGAAACACTGGGCCACATACCCATGCGCTCACCCATGAGAGGTGAAGTCATTGTCGATTGGGCTAGAAACACTGGGCCGCATACCCATGCGCTCACCCATGAGAGGTGAAGTCATTGTCGATTGGGCTAGAAACACTGGCCGCATACCCATGCGCTCTTCCCCCCAGCAAACTCATACGTCACCTCTCCCATGGGTAGAAATACTGGCAGGAAACTTACCTGCTAGTTCCCTCGGCGCACTCACTCACAGCCCGCCCAGAGTGGGATGAAGGTGAGGTGACAGTCCACCCAGAGAGGGATGAAGGTAACAGTCTACGTATAGCGCTTAAGAGAGCACGCCAACTCCCCTTTTTCACCACCCGCACGCCAGAGGCTGATGGGAGAACGTTGGATTCGATCCGGAGCAAGCCTTGCGCGGGTGTTGACGGCCTCCTAAGAGTAGATCTAGGCCAGCAATAGGCCCTCATCAGCGCACCCGCACGCCAGAGGCTGATCCCCGCTTACCTGCCAGCTCTCTCTGCACGTTGACAGCGCGTTTATACAGCTTGATCGAGTCGTCCCACATGTCCATGCCATAGCACATGTCCCCTGCGTTCTCCAGTAGGTCGTCCAAGAGAGGCTCAGCAGGGTGCGATGCCACAAGGGACAGGGCCTAAGGGGAGGGAGAAGTGGAAGGGGGGGGGGGGGAGGAGAACACTTTTGAGTCGACTCAAAACCAAGAGAGGCTCAGCAGGGTGCGATGCCACAAGAGACAGGGCCTGAGGGGAGGGAGAAGTGGAAGGGGGGGGGGGAGGAGAAAGGGGGGATGAGGAAGAAAGGAGGAGGGAAGGAAGGGACAAACCCACTCCACTGCAACCCACCCACTGAATCCCTCCCCTCACCTGACTCATGAATTCTTCCCCCTCGCTTCGCGCCCCATCCGCAGCAGCAGCTAGTTCAGACCTCGTGAAAGGCACTCTTTCTTACCCTCCCCCGCCCCTCCACTCACCTGGTGCATCCACTCTCGCCCCCTCTCCTCCCGCCCCATCCCGAGCAGCAGCTGCTTTAGACCTCGTGAGTGAGATTCTTACCCCCCCCTCCCCTCCCCTCATCCACTGCATCCCGCCCCTCCCCTCACCCGCTGCATCCCGCCCCTCCCCTCCCTTCTACTCCTTACCTGGTTCATCAGCTCTCTCCCCCTCTCCTCGTGCCCCATCCCCAGCAGCAGCTGGGAGAGCGCCAGCAGCACTGCTGCCTGCTCCACTCCCGCCTCTCCTGCTGCCACCTGTGTGTGTGTGAGGGGGGGGGGAGAGGGTGGTGCATGCGTGCGTGTGTGTTAGAGAGAGGGGGGGGGAAGCTTAGACATCCCCAGCAGCAGCTGAGGCAGCGCCAGCAGCACTGCTGCCTGCTCCACTCCCGCCTCTCCTGCTGCTGCCTGTGTGTGTGTGTTGGGGGGGGGGGGAGGGTGCGTGTGTGTGTGTTTGAGAGAGGAGGGGGGGGGGGGGACAAAAGCTTAGACATCCTCATCAGCAGCTGAGGCAGCGCCAGCAGCACTGCTGACTGCTCCACTCCCGCCTCTCCTGCTGCCACCTGGCAAGACGAAGGGGGGTGCCACTGTCCCCTCCCACGACCCCCCCCATCCCCCTACCCCCCCCCTCCCCATCTCCCCCCACCCTCTGCCCACTCACCTGCCCCGTCACTTCAGCTTCGTTTGTAGCCACCAGCGCTCCTCGTCCCCCTCCTGGAAGATCTGCACGGCGTTGCCGTCCTTCTGCCCCGCTGCCCCATCCCCCACCCCCCCCTCTCCCCTCTCCTCACCTGCCCCATCACTTCAGCTTCGTTTGCAGCCACCAGCGCCAGCGCGCCCTCCTCGCCCCCCTCTTGGAACATCTGCATGGCGTTGCTGAACATCCCCCCTTCCCCCCTTCCTCCTGTATCTGTGTCCCCTCCCCCCCCACCCCATCTCCCTCCTTCCCCCCTTCCTCTCCTCTGCCCACCCACCTGCCCCATCACTTCAGCCTCGTTGACAGCCACCAGCGCCAGCGCGCCCTCCTCGCCCCCCTCCTGGAACATCTGCACGGCATGGCAGAACATCTCAGCCAGCTCGTTCCTCTAACACAACCCCCCCACTCTCCCTCACCTGCCCCATCACTTCAGCCTCGTTTGCAGCCACCAGCGCCAGAGACCCCTCCTCGTCGCCCTCCTGGAACAGCTGCACGGCGTTGCTGAACATCTCAGCCAGCTCCTTCTTCAATTCCGACCGTTCCGCTGCCAATTCGTGCCACTGGGGCAAGTATGCTGGTTGGCTGGGAGGGGTGACAGGCAGGGAAGGTGGTGCTTGGTTGGGTCACGGTCACACCCCTCTTGCACCAGCTGCACGGCCTTGCTAGCCATCTCACCCAGCTCCCTCTTCAGTTCCGATCTCTCTGCTGCCAGCTCGTGCCACTGGGGCAAGTAGGCTGGCTGGCTGCTACTGCTAACCCCGCTTACTTATCGCTTAAAGTACACTTACTCGTCGTCTTAACTCTGCTCACTCACACATCTTCTAATCTCCACTTACTCATCATCTTCGTCTGTCTCTTCCTCCCCTCCCTTCCCCTCTTCCCTCCTCCTCCTCACCTCCTCCCCCGCCCGCCTGATCCCCTCTCCCTTCACCCCCCCCACCCCATCCCAGTCTGCCGCCCCTTCCTCCTCCAGCGCTTTCAGAGCCTCCGCAGCAGCTTCGGCCGAACCTGCATCGCAGCCACGGCCGCCCCAAACCATGTTAGCTCAAACGTGCAGTGCATCATAGAAAAAGAACGGCAGCTGTAGCAGAAGAACGGCAGCTGTAGCAGAAGAGCGGCAGCTGTAGCAGAAGAAAAAAAGGCCAAGAAAACAGCAAAAGGAACAGACAGTGCAGCTTCGGCCGAACCTGCCATCGCAGCCATGGCGTTCCGAGCCTCCACAGCCCTCTGTGCCGCCAGCTGGCGCGCTCCCACTGGTGCGCCGGGCTGCTCAGCCGCCATCTGCAGCTGCCTTGCCTCGCGGAGCATCCCTAGAATACCGGCTGTCTGCTGCTCGATCTGCTGCACGTCGGCAGATATGGAGCTCCTGATGGGGGGGAGGGGAGGGAGGAGGAGGAGGGCATCACCTTTTGAAGGCTCTCCACAACTGCCTCGCCTCTCGGAGCATCCCTATGTTGGCGGCTGTCTGCTGCTCGATATGCTGCACGTCCGCTGATATGGAGCTCCTGATGGGGGGAAGAAAGCCAGGGGTTGGGGTGGGGGGTGGGGGAGGGGAGGGGGAGGGAGAGAAGCATTGGGGAGGGGATCACCTCTTCAACGCTCTGCACAACAGGCAGCCCTCTCGGAGCTTCCCTAGGATGGCACCCGTCTGCTGCTCGATCTGCTGCACGTCCGCTGATATGGAGCTCCTGATGGGGGGAAGAAAGCCAGGGGTTGGGGTGGGTTTGGGATGGGGTGGGGGGGGGGGGGGGGGGGGGAACGAGAAGGGGGAGTAGCATTGGGAAGGAGGTCACCTCTTCAAGGTTCCCTACACGTGATTTGCCTCTCTACAGCTCCTGTGGGGGAGAGAACCAGGAGAGCGGGGCGAGTGATTGGGAAAGAAAGAGAGGGACTCACGTGGGTGTTCCACCAATACAGAATCCACCAGTAACAGAACTTCCAGGGATTACTTGAATTCGAGCACTTACATAAGTTCCGACACTCACTTCAGTTGCAGCACCTCCTGGAGCCCAAGCTCCGGAGTGAGTGACGTGGCAGTACGGTCCAGCTCAGCAAGCGTGGCGGCCACCGACCTCTGCAGCTCCGCCAGATCACGCTCCATGTCAGCAATGGCCTCCCCTGCCAAGTCCACGTCATCATCATCATCATCATCATCCACCTCATCTGCACTAACCTCCCCTGATTGGCTGATGCCTCTCCTCTCACCCCTAGACACGGCTTCTATCCCCTTCAACATTTCCTCCATTCCCCTGTCTAAACCCACTGTTTCTAAACCCCCTGAGTCCAAAACCCCCCTTAAACCCTTGCTTGAGTCGCCTGAATCGTTCGAGTCAAGAACCATCTGGTCAAACGTGGCAGAAAGGGATTCCAGCGAGGCAACTGCTGACATGGCACTTTCAAACATCCTCTCCGCCTCCTGCACCTCCTTCAGGTCCATGTTCAGCTCGCGAGCAAGCGCTTCTAGGTCCAAATCAGAACTTCCTGCCACGTCAGCACCATCTGCCACGTCAGCACCGCTAGAAACGTCAGCATCTCGGGAACTGGAGCCTGTTTTCCCCTCGATTCCGCCCTCCAGGACTTCTGGATCCACCGCCTTGGGATTCCCAGCTTGTTTCCTCCTGCGGAGTTAAAAAATGTGATTGCAAAAAAAAAAAAAATCCTCATTTCCAGATTGCATTCGATAGTGAGTGACTGGAAGCTTGGAACGAGAGACTATCAAACGGGTTTCTTCCTTCCAGGGTTTAAGCAGCAGGGTTTAGCGAAGGGCAAGCGCCCGCGCTTGAAACGAACAAGCAGGAACTAGATTTACGCCGAGTCGGTACACAAGACACAAAATCTAAGCCGACCACGTACCCTTCGATTGAGTCACTTCCGTCTGTGTCACCTGCGCCAGCAGCAGACCCAGTAGCCGCCGTCGGAACAAGAAACCCTCGCCGCCTTTTATCGTTCGATCTACCGGTTCGTCGCGCACCTGCCTGGAAACTGCGCACCCAATGGCGAGCCGGCAGAGGCTGTGTGCTCCGGGCTGGCGTTACGCCGGCTGCGAGCGAAACGAGGCCTGTGGGTGAAATGCGGGCTGCGTCTATCGCAGTGCATCGCGCGGCGAGACAGCTCGACGCAGCTTGCGCCGAACACGCTATGAGGGACGAGGTGGCCATGGAGCCGCGCTGACGTGATTGAACGCGCTTTCAAGGCTCGTAAACTCGCTGAGAGAAAAAAGCCGCGCCTGAACAATGGTACAACTGAACTGGTCTGACTGAAGTTGGGTGGATGGGTCCAAGTCAAAGAATATTTCAGTCGCCAAACCCGACTCCATTTTCTGCTGCAAAACACAATTTGAACCGGGAGAAGCCTAACCAAACCCAGTACGAAGTTGGTACCCGTGAAGACCAATAAGAGCACCCCTTCGCTGAAATAATAATTTTAACTGGTTCGTTCCATTCGCAAAGCGGAAAACCGCCTCGGCTCAGATCGCCGCCAGGTATGTGCGAACAAATGACAACTCTTGCTCCTTCGTCGTGATGTGGCGTACTGAGTGCGAAAGTGGTAACTGGGTTGCTGTCAGGTTCGGCTGTACGAAATGCACTCTCGTTACGGTGGATTCCAACCTGTGACTGGGGGTGAAGTGCCATCTGAGGATGACGAGGCGACTCGCCATTGGCTTTAATTAACTATGAGCTATCAGGTCGGTGAAGTCTGGTGCAGTTTATATAAGAACGGTCTCATGCGGTAAACCGTGGTTTTAACATTCGCTCCAGTGTTCAACCTCCTCCAAACCAAAACCTAATCACTTCCTGCCTGTCATTTCCCCAATCGCGGTGAGGCACGGCGCCCCACGTTTTCTTTGCATAACCGCATTGGACCGTTTTAGAACATTTTCAACCGCAAGGAACGTACTTACCCCTGGTGGGTACTGTGTAAGAGCAGGCCAGGCTTGTTCATCCAGACACCCAGATCAGAGTTCCTAGAGGCCCTACTAGGAACTGTTCCTACTGCTACTACGGCCACAAAGTTGAGGCCTTACTGCGTCAAGACGTCATTTGGGTCGCATTGATCGCCTGAACCTTCCGCATTGAGGTCCTGGCCTAGGATCGAGGTATTTTTAATAGTAACTTTCCGCGGAGTTTAATCCTATTCCTTATTTTTCAGCTGTTCCAGGGGTTTCGTTTAGGCCGCAAGGCGAAGCAGGCGGCATGGTGAATCAGGAGCAGCTCGATTCGCACATCGCCCAGCTGCACGAATGCAAACCGCTCACCGAGGCCGAGGTTCGTGCGTCTTCCGCCGACTAAGTTCCGCGTATTGAGTTCCGCGTACTAAGTTCCGCATTTTAAGTTACGCGTACCTTGTCTATTTCAGTTCGGCTTCATTAGTTCGATATGTGCCTCATATAGCGTTGTCCGACTCTGTCACGTTTGTCGACCGCACGATCCCAGATGTTGACGCGTTCGAGTGTAGCATCTTCTCATGTTTAGCATCTTAGTGTAGTATCTTCGATCATGTTCGTGGGTATTCCGCGGCTTCGACTGTCCGCTTCTCCCTACCTGTTCCACATTTCAATTAGGGTATCGTTGTGACACGGCATTGCCCGCCCGTTATTTTCGCTAGTGACTTTTGAGTCGAGTCAAACGACGCCATTTCTAGGGTTTCAATGTGATGCGGCATTGTCCGTTCGTAATTTCCCGCTGCCGACTTTTGAGCCGACTCAATAGTATTTTTTCTAGGGTTTGAATGTTATGCGGCAATGTCCGCTCTTTTCGAAACACCTTATAATGGCACATCGTCCCCTCGTATTTGCCCTGCAGGTGAAGGCCCTCTGCGAGAAAGCCAGGGAGATTCTGGTGGAAGAGAGCAATGTGCAGGTAAGCGCTTTCGACTCAGCCTAGCGTTTCGACTGATCCTAGCATTTCGAGCCCATTTTTGACAACCTAGCATTTCGACTGAGCGTATATTTTTTTGTGGAAGAGGTTTCCCTAATGGGCCATTGATTTATAAGCGCATTGCGGCTGAGCCGAGCAATGTTAATCCACAGACAGCGCTCAAGAACTTTAGACGGTAGACCACAGACTTGAGCCTAGGATTCCTTTGTGAGACCAGTGGCTCTTGAGGCGGTATCATATCGCATTGTGCATTTGACACTGGCTCCACCGACCTAGTTAGGTTTTCTCCAATCGGCCTGATTCTATTTAGCGGCATTTAGGTTATTTCGCGTCACCTTCTTCACCACTCTTCAATTAGTATTGTCGCAATGTGTCCTTAAAACGGCAAATAACTCCATTCTCGTTTTATGGCGATTCTGGGTCTTCTTAATATGCGTCCTCGTTCAAAAGGCACATTGTGTGAAGTCCCATTCATCCCATTCCACCGGCTCCCATCTGCTCCCATCAAGCCCCAGCCTGTCAGGTGTCCGGTCAGGTCACCATCTGTGGCGAGTTGGCGCAAGAGAGACGTTATGGCCCATCTATTCCTGGCTGTTCCCATTTTGATCCCCTCTCTTCCCAGCCTGCCAGGTTTCCCGTCACCATCTGCAGCAACATTCACAAGCAGTTCCAGAGGCGCGGCGTTTTGTTTACCATCTAATGCCATCGCATACCATCTGCTCCCATCAAACCCCAGCCTGTCAGGTGTCCCGTCACCATCTGTGGCGACATTCACGGGCAATTCCACGACCTCTCCGAGCTGTTCCGCATTGGCGGCAAGGTATGCTCTTCTACTCATCGTGCGGGACTTGCTTAGTTGCTATGTTGAAAAAACGCACGCTTTTTCCAACATAGCTCAGTAGAGTTCATCTGTATCCCAGTTATTTTCCAACCACCTCTATCTGGAGGACTGCCGACAGAGCCGAGTGTTGAGGCAAGAAGATTCACCTGGTACACCCCGAGTGCTGTGTCCACCTCTTCCCTTCCTCCCTTCCCTTCCCCTCGTCTCTTCCCATAATCCCCTTCGCTTCCCATGTGCCCAGTCGCCAGACACCAACTACCCCTTCATGGGGAATAGGTCGACAGAGGCGAGTTTTGAAACAAGAAAAACCACCTGCCACGTCCTTTCCCTTCCTCCCTTCCGCTCGTCCCTTCCATCCATCCCCTTCCTTCCCATGTGCCCAGTCGCCAGACACCAACTACCTCTTCATGGGGGACTACGTCGATCGAGGCTACTACTCTGTCGAGACAGTGACTGTAAGCGTTCCCTCTTGCGCCCCCTCTTCTCTTTCAAAACCTCGACTGCTGCTAGGCCGGCTTCTATGGCTTACTCAATCTGCTGTCTGTTTTCCCCCTTGAACCTTCTCTTTTCTTTCAAGTTCACAACTGCTAGGCCGTGATTGAGGGTCCACCACCACCCTGATTCCTCTGGAGCTCTCTCTCTCACCGCTTTCACCAAGTCCCTTTCCTCCCCCCTGATCCGCATCCCGTGTTTCCCTCCTGCGTTATTGCTCCGTGTTTCTCGGCCACAGCTGCTGGTGTCGTTGAAAGTGCGCCATCCTGACCGCATCACCATTCTCCGAGGGAACCACGAGAGCCGCCAGGTGCGCGCTGGTGGGAGCATGTGGGGGCACGGGGGCATGTGGGGGCACGTGGGTGCATGTGGGTGCATGTGGTGCATGTGGTGCATGTGGGCGTGTGTGGGTGTGTGTGGGTGTGTATGCATGCATGTCAATTCCGTGATTCCCTGCTCGTGTCATTGAAAAGTCCACCACCCCAATCGAATCAATCCCATCATCGAATCGCCAATTAGGGAACCGTGAGAACTGCCAGGTGCGCGCAGTCATGCAGGTGCGCGCAGTCATGCAGGTGCGCGCAGTCATGCAGGTGCGCACAGTCATGCAGGTGTGCGCAGTCGATTTTTTAGAATTCTAAAAAATCAACTTGCGTGCAGTCATGCTGACATTCCCCCCCATTCCCCCACGGCACTCTTGTCCATTCCCTCCCGCCCTCCCTCCCTCTAATGTTCGTACCTCCTGCCTGCAGATCACGCAAGTCTATGGCTTCTACGACGAGTGCCTGCGCAAGTGAGTGCCTGATATGCTCAGCTTAGGATGTGGCTGCACGCACTTGCACCATTTTCTAGGGGCCTAAAGAATCGACGAGTGCGTGCGCAAAGGATTGCTTGCTAGGCTCTCTATGCGCAAGTGCACTTGCACAGATTTGCAAATCAGTTGCACTGCAGATCACACAAGTCCTCACGCTTAACCCTTAACCCTAACCCTAAACCCGAGTCATCACCCCAAACCCTTAACCCCAACCCTAAACCCAAGTCATAAGCCTAAACCCTTAACCCTAGCCCAAAACCCAAGTCATAAGCCTAAACCCTTAACCCTAGCCCGAAACCCAAGTCATAAGCCTAAACCCTTAACCCTAGCCCGAAACCCAAGTCATAAGCCTAAACCCTTAACCCTAGCCCGAAACCCAAGTCATAAGCCTAAACCCTTAACCCCAACCCTAAACCCAAGTCATAAGCCTAAACCCTTAACCCTAACCCGAAACCCAAGTCATAAGCCTAAACCCTTAACCCTAGCCCGAAACCCAAGTCATAAGCCTAAACCCTTAACCCTAGCCCGAAACCCAAGTCATAAGCCTAAACCCTTAACCCTAGCCCGAAACCCAAGTCATAAGCCTAAACCCTTAACCCCAACCCTAAACCCAAGTCATAAGCCTAAACCCTTAACCCTAACCCGAAACCCAAGTCATAAGCCTAAACCCTTAACCCTAGCCCGAAACCTAAGTCATGGCTTCTATTGACTAGACATGGGCATGAGCCGAGCCTGGCTCGGCTCGGCTCGTTTGGGGTCGAGCCGAGCCGGCTCGGCTCGCCTCGAGCCGGGACCTCAGGATCCCTGGCTCAGCTCGTCAGGGGGGCTTGTGTAACCTCTCAAGAAGGCCCACTGTTTTGGGGGACTCTAGTCCAGGGGATGTGCCAGATTGTGATTGTGATCTACTGCTGCTCTGTTTGGGGCGCCAGTACAAGCCCCCCCTTGCCTAGCCGCCGTTGCCTTGGTCTTTGCCATGTGCAATGCAAGATCGCGCACCCCCAAATGCGCGCGCTTAACTTAATCAAGCGTTACCAAGCGCCCTACAAGGCTACAACCCTCAGCATCGCGGGACTAGGCCTAAACAGACGCACGCCCAGGCCTATACCCTAGCGTGCGCATACCACGAGCCAAGGCCTCGGTGGCGCGCCTAGGGCTGTCGCGCCAAGGCCTCGGCGGCCCTGATTATAAATAGTAGTTCTTACATCTTTAAAAAATAAAACAAGGTGCTGCA